GTAGACATTAACACCTCACATGCCTTAACCTTATCATTTGTTCTTCATGTACCTAAACTTAATAACAATTTTCTTTCAATTAGTAATTTAAATACATCCCTGAATTGTAGTGTGACCTTTTCCCCTTAATATTGTATTTTTTAGGACATGAAATCTCGGAAGGTGATTACTAGTGGTCATGAGGCGAATGGGATCTATCTATTAGACATGCCTAAGTAGAGCCAAGTACAACCTCAGAGAACTGCATTTGTTTCAGAGTCTACTAGTTGTACTATGTTATGTCATAGTAATTTGAGTAATTTGTCTTTCTCTTTATCGAGTCAGTTGTTTCCAGAACTATTTAAAGGAATAAGTCTGTTGAGTTTACATTGTGTCTTGTGAGTTTTCAAAGCATTTTAAGAATACTTATCCTTCAAGTAATAAAAGGTCAACTATTCCTTTTAATATTGTTCACTTTGATGTGTGGAGGCCTTACCATTTACCTTGTGTGGGTGGTTATAGATATTTCATCCTTTTTATTGATGACTTTTGACATTATACCTAGATTTACCATATGCACTCTTGTGCTAAGGTGTCTAAACTTGTGCAATGGTTCCATGAAAATATACCCACTCAGTTTGATACCTGCATCAAAATATTCCAATTAGACAATGCTAAGGAATATTTTGAGAAGGACCTTACCTCCTACCTTGAGAAATTTGGGGTTGTTCATCAGAGTTCCTGTGCCCGTACTCCACAACAAAATGGAGTAGTGGAGAGGAAAAATAGACATATTGTGGAAGTTGCAGGGAGTATTATTTTTGCTACCCATGTTCTTATGAAGTTTTTGGTTGAAGTAGTTTTAACAACCACTTTACTTATTAACCGTATGCCTTCTGGAATCTTGGGGGTTAAAGTCTCCTTTTGGAGTCCTCTTTCTTGGTGTTGAGGTTTTCTCCATTCCTCAGCGTGTCTTTGGTTGCACTTTCTATGTCTACATTCCCAGTTCCAAGAGACATAAGTTTGAACCCAAGGTTGAAAGTGTATCTTCCTTGGTTATGCCTCCACATAGAAAGGGTATTGTTGTTTTGATTCCATTAGTGACACCCGGTTTGTTTCCATGGATGTCACCTTTTTAGAGTTGGTCCCTTTTTATTGTCATCCAAAATTGAATTGTTTGATCTCTAAATCAGGGCCCTTTTTGGTTTAGTTCCTAGTCCATTTTTGAAAACAATGATCCAAAGGTTTTAAATTGGATGAGGATTTTATAAGAGGATGGTACACAAATTAGGGGTGCAACTTGGGCGAGCCCAGCTCGAGCCCGAACTGGCCCAACCCGGAATTTTACACAGGTTGGGCTTGGATTTTTGGTCCTCAGGCTAGGCTCGGGCCCAAGAAGTTGGGCTTTTTTATTTTTCGGGCCGGGCTCAGGCCTAGCCCTTAGGTAGCCCGAACCTGGCCCAATTATATACATTTATACATATATGTGTATATATGTAAATGTTGCATACATATTTACATATATATACATACATATTTGTATATATAACATTTGTATAGATATTTTGCATACATATTTACATGATACATAAATATATGCATATATATTTGCATCAATATATTTATATATGCATAATTTTAGAGTGGGTTCATTGACCAACCCGAGCAAGGCCTAGGCCCAAGCCCAACCCGAGTGCATCAAATTACAAGGCGGGTTGGAAAAATCGGGCTTGACCTCGGGCTCGGTTCTTAAGCCCAAATTTTAGGGCCGAGCCTGGGTTGATCATAAACCCGGCCCAATCCACCTAACTTGCACCCCTAACACAAATGCATATTCTTTTACAACAAGAGCTAATGTTTGTAGGGTATGGGCACAAATTAGGAATCTGGGAATGCATATTCCACCTGCCAACATCATAAAGTTGAATATTGATAGTTGTAGCTTTGGGAACCTGGGAATGTTAGGCTTCAGAGGAGCATGTAGAGAAAGTAATAGGCACAAATTGACTATTCACTCCAGATTGGCAGGAGAGGACAAAACAACAAGGCAGAAAAGAATGAATTGGGAGCTCTCTTCGCTACAACAACTTCTTGGTGGAAGGTGACTCCAAATTGTTGATAGGGTGGTTTCAAAATAGCAGTGTAGGACCTTGACAATATTGCCACCTAATCATGGAAGTTAAACAATTCATTGATATCTTAAGCACAACTTTCATTGGATTAAAGATCAGCTAATGAGATAGCTAATATAGTAGCCAAAAAAGGAGTACAAAGAGCTTAGCTGTTTTGGGGAATATCTCATGGGGGATAGACTGTAAATGTAAAATAAGAAAACAATGGGGTAGGTAGTAGGGAATGGCCTTACTACCCATTGAGTGCAAGTAGGTACATTCATTTTCCTCACAATTAAGTTATATATGTACTGCTCAGCTAATGTGGCTCTCACTTAAGTGAGGGCACAATGGTAATCCTTGTATATCTTAGAAGAGTATAAATAAAAGAAGGGCCGACTAGAGAGATTTGATTTTTCTCTCTAGTTCGGCTGTGACCTTTTCTCCTTCTTTTCCTTCTCTTTCTTCTTCTCCTTCTCTCTCTCTTTTCCTTCACTTTCTTCAGATCTGAACATATACGAACATCTAATTTGAGTTTTATCAACTTTTTATACTTCTACTATTCCTATTGTTTTCTCTTTTTAAAACTTTTGATGTTTTGACTTTCATAACGAAATTTCAAATGCTCACCTTGTCATTTTTGTCGCCTATCTTGGCACATTATTGCCTAGGTGGGTGCTTTGTTGCTATAAGTCAAGGCATTTCGGTGAGACACCCAGTCAATGATGCCCAGTTGCCTAGACAACACCTATGTGACTCCTTGACAACTATGCACTAATTGTCGAGGACATTGAATTAAAACTTGTGGCTGCTTATAATGCAACCAAAGACTGTTTAGTATCGGTAGGATTAAACAAGAAAATTTCAAGAAACAATAAGGCTGGGGGATTACCTGGACAGCATATTAATATTATTTGTAGTTCCAAGAGTCTTTATTAAATGTAATAGCAGGGTAACGCTACTAAAGACTATCAAACGTTGAGAGTTTGTTTGGAATCTCCAAAGAATGAACTTGACAAATATTTATGGAGAAAAAAATGAATATTATTCAAAAGAAACTTGGGCATCCTAATAAGACAACTTCAAGGAAAAAACTCCTAATGATCTTCAGTCCCACCAGCACCAAATTTCATCAAGATGAACTTATTTGGATGTAGTTTGGGTAATTCTAGGATGTCAGGTATTGGCAGTTTGCTTAGAGGAAGGTATGATAACATTTGAGCTTTATTCTTGGTCCCATTGGCATAGAGAACTCTATTCTAGCAAACTGATGGTGGTTTTGCAAGGATTGAGGATTTTAAGACTTTCACATTACAACAATCTAGTGGTGGTATTGGTATGGGACCCTAAGGTGATAGTGAGATGGTTTCAGTTTCAGAAACATAGGGCAGGGTCTTGGATATATAACTGATGTAATATGGAAGCAAAAAGAGAAATGAAAGACGAGCTTAGATAGCAACCTGTATAATGCACTGTTGGCCTAAAAAGGAGCACTGTGTGACCAATCAAACCTTGGTTGATTTAACTGAAATTTGTGAAAGTAGAGTACACTTGTTGTGCTCAAATACTGTAGATTTTCAGCTCAATCTGACATGTAGAAGTGTCCCAACTAAAGGCTTCCAGATAACCAAGTTTGGGGTTTTGCCGATCATGGTAAAAAAGTCAACCTATTGACCAGTGGAAACTGGTTGTGTTACTTATAATAATAGTCTTTGTGCCAAATTTGGTCCATGTTGGTTTAATTATTAGAGTTATGTTCAATCTTATAGAAATCTACTGTAACTTTTGGACTTAATATTTATAGTAATTCCTCTAATTGCTATTTAGAGCAACTTTCATAATTACTATTTAAAATATTAAAGTAAAATCATTACTTACTATTTTTAGTAAATTTTGGTTTCTTCTATTAAGTTTTAGTAGAATTAGAGGGTTATAAAGTGTCCTAGTTTGACAAAGTAGTTTCTATTTTATTTTGGAAGTTTGGATTCAAATTAGAATCCGAGTACAAGTTGGAATTTGCTTATTTTTGGGTCTATAATTAAGTGTTAGCAGGTTTCTGTGGAGAACATTCTATTCTATCATATACTATTTTATTCTATTGCTTCTTTCTTTTTTCTTCTATGAATTGAATAAAGAGTTCTTATTCTGTTTCTACCATAGTCAACAGCTACAGTAGAAGTTATACTTGCCTCCTCTTCTATTTTCTCTTCTTTATTTGTTTGTTAATATTTGTTGCTGAAGCCTATTGCTACATGTTAGGAGTTCTCAGCTTTAATGAGGCATGAAATAAGGAAGTTAAATGATTATTGGAGGACCAGAGGGCAACCTTTATTTGGACACATAGATCAGACAATGCCCAATGGTATGGCTATATGCTAGAAGACAAGGAAGAAAACAGGAAAGCATTTTCTTTTTTGGGGATCAGTTAAGGGAAAAAATGTAATTTCTGAAACAAAAGATCTATTTAGGGTTAGGTAGCAATTCTAGCCCAATGTAACAGGATCAAGGCACATTATACAAATCTTACTTTCATTCATTGAGCAATAAGTTCACCAGTTTCAATAAAAAAACTCCTAAATGATATGCTAATTTGGAATTGAGGACTTGTAATAAAAAGTAAGTAAATACTTCTTGATCCAATTTTTTATCACTAATGTGAGGATGCATGTACCTTTTATGTGGAGACATCTTTAAAGAATAATTGACTACTAGCAGATGCCTTTAAATAGGTGTTTCTGGATATCTGAGAATGGGCTGATTTTGCCTGCATCAGTGGAGTTCTCTACTTTCATATAGCTGGTTCCCTTGATAGGATACTTAGCTTATTCGTAATAATTTACCTGTTTACATAGTAACTCAGTTCTACCTGTATTGTCCATTGACTGTATATCATTCATCTTATAATGACAGGTAGAACTCTATGCAGAATATGATCTGAAGATGCTGCTTCCTTTTCTTCGTAGTAGTCAGCACTATACGCTAGAGAAGGTTTGCATTATGACCATAGGATTCCTTTTTAACCTTTTATTGTTATCAAACAATGTTATAAAACAGTAATATCTTGATAATTTACCATTAGGCATATGATATTTGCATCAAAGAAGGTCTTCTGAGAGAGCAGGTTTTTATCCTTGGAAGAATGGGAAATTCAAAACAAGCCCTTTCTGTTATCATTAACGAATTAGAGGACATAGAAGAGGTAATATACCAATATTCTCTGCATTCATTTTGAAAGAGTTTCTCCTTATGTGAGAGAGTTCACTTTCATTTCTTTTGTATTGTTATCTTGTTTATAGTACATTTTGAATGTCAGAATTAATGGGCAAAGCTTTGTGAATGTTTACAGGCAATAGAGTTTGTGACAATGCAGAACGATGATGAGCTTTGGGAAGAACTAATTAAACAGTGTCTTAATAAGCCTGAAATGGTAAACTGAAGTCTTAATTAGTATATTGAAGCATGAAAATGGACACATTGAAAGATTAATACATTGAGGCATTTTTTCTTGGGGGTCTACTCATGAATGCATCCAAAACTATGCAGGTGGGTGTTTTGTTGGAGCACACTGTTGGTAACCTTGATCCGATTTATATTGTGAATATGGTGCCTAATGGTTTAAGGATACCACGGTTAGTTTATCATTTCTTTTCTGCTTGTACCATGATTTGTACATAGAAACTTGTCACTTTTATTTCATGTTCCTTGTTTATTCACAGTTAAAACCTGTTTTTTTCGGCATTCATAGTTAAAATCTTGGTAGCTCAATCAAATAGCTTTGCATAGTTATTTCCTTATATTGATGAAATCTGGGCTTGGCCTTCAGATGTAGTTAGATGTCTTGTTCTATTGTTTTTATCATCACCAGCTCTTGTGACTTCCCATTATTGCTAGGCATTAGATTGGGACATGCAACTGGTTGGCATAATTTCATAGTCAGGCTAGTTCCTCATGTTTTGTCTGTCTAGAAACAAAGATCCCTCCTCTATTCTGGTCATGCCCATCATCTATCATATCATTATCAGGGAATCTCTGTCAATGCAAATCAATGATAAGACTTAAGAGCTAAGCCTTCATTTGTACCTCAAGTGCCAACCGGTCTTGAGTGTGTAAGAATAAAATCATTGTTCTGGTATCTGAACACCAATCCCGGATCAAAATCTGGGGAATTAGCCATTAGGAGCTACTTTCTCATGGATTGAAGATTTGTCAATTGCTTGGTTGATGCTCTACTCTAGCCAGGCAAGAAAAGGAAGATTGGAGCAGTGGAGGCTAATCTAATATTGTAGGGGTGCTTGGCACATATACAAACTGAATGCTATTCTTTACTACAATTAATAAAATCACTGCTTAGTTACTAATAAAAAAAGATACTCTAATCACTGATCAACTATGATTTCCTAGGGATTTCCCATCAAATTTTAGGCTTTCTAGCTTGATAGAGTTCACAGGGAGGGAGGGCCCAAGGAATAACTGTTTGCGTTCATGATGATATTCCTCTTTTTTTCAATTTTGGTCAATAGTGAGATGATGGGTTTCATTAAATACAAATCTATGAAAGGTTTACATTGGGACAACAAGGTAAGCTCCAACTCTAATGTAGAATACCATACAAAATACAAAGATATAGTAGAAATCTGCTGAATTAAAAAATATGAAAGAAAAGTAGTTTCTTGAAGAGAGAAGGAGAAGAAGAGAAGAAGAAAGTTGAAAAGAAAAGAGAGCAAAAATGATCTGGCCGCCCCCTTCACTTATTATTTATACTAAAAGTAATAGAGCAGTACAAAGACAACTATGCCCTTATAGGGCGACAAAACATAAAACAGGACTCAAAGACATAATAAAATTTGGACTCACATAACTATACGATCAAACTGAAGTCAGATGGTTCCCTTGATCGATATAAGGCCCGGTTAGTTGCCCAAGGATACAGTCAGGAATATGGGATTGATTATGAAGAAACATTTGCCCCGGTTGCTAAGATCACCACAATTTGGACTCTTATGGCCATATTTGTTGTTCATTCCTGGACTATTTGCCAAGTAGATGTGAAGAATGCTTTTCTTCATGGTGAACTGAAGAAGACAGTCTACATGAAACCTCCGCCTGGATATTGCAGTGATCCTTCACGTGTCTGTCGCCTAAAGAAGTCTCTATATGGTTTGAAGCAAGCACCTAAGGCTTGGTTTGAGCGCTTCCGGGATGTTGTTGCAGTTGGGTATAATTAGAGTTCCTCTGACTACTCTCTCTTTGTTAAGAGAAGACCCCAGGGTATCACTATCCTCCTATTGTATGTTGATGACATGCTTCTAACTGGGGATGATCATGATGACATTTGTGAGCTAAAGTCCTTACTTCATAACTCATTTCACATGAAGGACCTGGGTCCTCTTACTTCTTGGGTTTGGAGGTCCATCGTAGCAGTCGAGGGTATTTGATTTGTCAACAAAAATACGCCTCTGATCTCGTCAAATTAGTTGGAATTACTGATGAGAAACATGTTGATACCCCCTGGAGCTGAATGTTAAACTATCTAAATCCGAAGGCCTCATCCTTCCTGATGCTACTTTGTACTGTTAGCTTGTTGGTTCTCTGATCTATCTATGACCAGGCCTGATATTTCACATGTTGTTCAGGTCATCAGTCAGTTTGTCTCTACCCCGCGGCAGCCTCATATGACTGTTGTTCGCCGCATCATCCGTTATGTTAGAGACACAACCTCTCAAGGACTGTTTTTCTCTTCCTCATCATCCATATAGTTGAGGGTTTATGTTGATGCCAATTGGGCTGGTTGTCCTGACACTCGTCGATCCATTACTGGGTGGTGCGTCTTCATGGGTGACTCTCTCATCTCCTGGAAGTGCAAGAAACAACAAACTGTCTCTAAGTCTTCTACTGAAGCCGAGTATAGAGCTATGTCTTCTGCATGTAGCGAGATTGTTTGTCTGAAATCTCTTTTCATGGATCTTGGTACTCCTCTTCCTACTCTTATCCCTCTGTATGCCGACAACACCAGTGCTATCAAGATTGCATCTAATCCTGTCTTTCATGAGAGGACTAAACATATCGAGGTGGATTCACTTTATTAGAGACCTTGTTGCAGGTTCTATATCTCTTCCTCATGTAGCCTCTCACATGTAGATTGCCGACATCTTCACCAAGGCCATGAGTAAAAGTCGACACCTTGTTCTTGTGGGCAAACTGATGCTGATGTCTATGCATTAGTTTGAGGGGGAGTGTGAAGATATACCTTGATGTACATTATTAGAATAGTCCTTGTTGTACAGTATTGTATTCTTATTATTTTATTTGTTCTTTTTACTTTCAGCCCTGTAAGGGCATTCTTGTAACTGTACATATCTTTTATCTCTTTAATATAAAAGAGACTCTTTGGGGTGGGGGTTGACTATTCTTGACACCCTTAATTCTGTTTTCTCCTTGCTCTCAATTCAGTTCACAAAAAACAAGGGATGGGAAGGGGAAATTTATTTTGGGCTTTGTTGTAAACTTGTAATTGACTTCTGTCTTACGGAGAGTTAAGAGTGTTTACCTCTCCCTATGTACCTTATTGTATCTTTTTTATAATAGTGTTTTAAAAGGCGTGGGAGGCGTACGCCTGGAGGCGTGCCTCCAGGAGAGGCGCTCCCGAAACACCTTGAGGCGTATGCCAGAGGCGCTGACACCTCTGAGGCGTACGCATCTTGCGCTTTTTTCATGAGGCGTGCTAGAGGCGTACACCTCATGCGCCTCATGCATATCTGATATAAAAGGACAAAAAAAAAGAAAAAAAAAGGAAAGGAAAGGGAAGGAAAAGAAAGGGAAGGGAAAGAAAAAGAAAGAGAAGAAAAAAGAGAAAAGGAAAGAAAAGGAGAGGAAAGGGAAGGCAAGAAAAGATAAGGGGAAAGAAAGTGGTTTGCCCCTTGCCCCTTTCAACTAATGTTATGCATCTTTATTCTTCTTAATATAAAATATTTTTATTAAAAATAAAGAGAAAATGAGATCCCCCCTTCCTCTTCATCCTCCTCCTAAGCCCCTCTTAAGGAGACTTACGCCTCCTTGTGTTCGGGAGGCTTACACCTCTTGCGTTCTAAACTACACCTCACTCCTCTAGGTAGTGGAACACCTCGCGTCACGCCTCCGTGTTTTAAAACATTGTTTTATAATTTAATGAATTTACCAGCTATTGATCAAAAAACAAAAAAATTCCAACCCTAAATCAAAGGTTGAAGATGGAGGCTAAAGAGCTTTCTTTCCCAATTACTTTTGACGTGGAGATTTCTCTTGATAGTTAGTTGTTTCGAACAGTTTTAGATCAACAACTGAAGCATGAAGGTAGAAGGGAAGGTAAGATAAGAGAGGCAACTTTGGTCTCTGGTTTTCGATTGAAAAAGCTTGAAAAGATTTACCAAAGATATTTCCAATCCATAATATCTTCTGCCGTGGAAGAACTAGCGGTTTTCCCATCAATTTCTTTGAGTGCAATCTGAGATTTACCAGAGATTTGGGTCTTTCCTTGAGCATAATCTGAGAGTAATCTAGCGTCTCAGCAGTAATATTCAGTATCGTAGGCTACCTGTAACTCTGTAAGTATATTCTGTGTTTTTCTAAAGTTTCTGTTATTTTTTCTACAATTTCTGGTTATCTTTTCTGTATTTTCTATTGTTTTTCCGTGATTTTTATGTTTTTTTAATTGTAATTTCTACTATTCATCATTTTTTGTGTATTTTATAATTTCTGTTATATTTTCCTGCAGTTGTTATATATTTGTAATATTTTTGTGATTTTTCTGCTATAATTTTCTGTAATTTATGCTTTTTTTTGCATTTCCTGTGTTTTTATAATTTTTGTATTTTTCTACAATTTTTATCATTTATCATTTTCTTTGTTCTTGACTTTTTTCTATAATTTTTTGTTATATTTTCTTGTACCATTTTTGCATTTCCTTTGTTTTTTTCTATAATTTATACAATTTTCTGTGTTTTAATGAATTTTAAAACAAATGGGTTTGGGTGGGTTGCGGTGAACCCAACCCATTTACTTTTCTCTAAATGGGTCATTAACAGGTTGGTGGGTTAAATAGGTTGGGTTGAATTTCAACCCAAACCCAACCCACCCAATTGCCACCCCTACAGATGACAAAGAACAGAAAGGAGGTATTGTGTCTATTGGTGTGTGTAGATTGGATTTTGTATGTGGTTCTCCATGGCCTAGGATACTGCAGTCCAGTACCAAAACCCCTTCTTTCGATCCAGAAATTGAAAGATCACTTACAGCTGCACCTGTCCTGTCTGAGGCCCTCAACCTCTTCCCACCTTGCTGTCCCTTTCCTTTCCAATCAAGATCCCATGATTTGGCCTGATTAGCTTCAGTATTGCTAGAAGTGTTAGGTGGCAGAATTATTTGATTTTATTTAATTAAGGGTAGTCTTGTAGTTTGCTCATACACTTAATAATAAAACAAGTGGGCGGCAGTTGAGTTTGAGAGAAGTTAGAACAGAGATTTCTCTCTTGCCAAACCCTACTTTTCTTCTTCTCTATCTTCTCTTTTTCTCAGTCTTTTTCTATTTTGTCTGGTTGTACAATCAGTTTAAGGTTGATTACAAGAATTACCATTCTCCAATTCCATGGCAATGTCAGGTCCTTCCATCAGTTTCCTCTTGATTTCAACTTTCATTAGAGACAATTCCCTTGTCCGTTTCTTAGAAGTCTCAATTTATAATATGTGTAATGTACAGGGAATGCCTGTATGAAGCTTTCTTACGTGTTTCTTGTGTGATAATTTTTCATTATTTTCTTATTATCCTTGGCACTAATCACTGTGTTCTCTCATTTTTCTCTTGCAGGCTTCGAGATCGCTTAGTTAAAATCATTACGGATTATAGAACTGAAACTTCTCTTAGACATGGATGCAATGATATCCTTAAGGTACTCCTTTACTTTGTATGCAATTGTAGAATTAGTTTGGTATAGGAAAAATAAAAAATGAAAGTACAAAATATCAAATAAGTCTTCTCCTTGGAGACGAATCTTGAACTGAGTTTTGTGTTTTCAAATTGACAGGCAGACTGTGTGAACCTCTTGGTCAAGTACTATAAGGAAGCACAGCGTGGAGTATACTTGGGTAGTGCAGAAGAAGAAACTCAAGCAAAGAGGGATGGCCATAGAGCTACTGAGGTAACTGGGAAGCCAGCAGGTATGAGATTGATGGAATTGAAGTCAAAAGCAAGGGGTGGTGGAAGGTGTTGCATGTGCTTTGATCCCTTCTCTATACAAAATGTCTCAGTCATAGTATTCTTTTGCTGTCATGCCTATCATCTCACTTGTCTCATGGACTCCACAAATTCTGTTAGTCATAAAAGTGGGACCCATTCCACTTCCCAGGAGCCTGTATCAAATTATGATGATGATGATGACGATGATGATGAGGATGATGATAGTAACCAGTCTGGTGCATCTCGAGTGCGTTGTATTTTATGTACTACAGCTGCTGGATGAGTTTGTGTATGTATGTGTGGTGTGGGTGTTGATGGGAGGGTTGTGGGTGTATTTTTGTGTTTTTTTTCTGTCTTAATGGTTTCTGCCTCAATTGGTTTTATTATTTGCGTTCAATTTTGTTCAAGTCTTTTGCCATTTATTGGAAATTATTGCCTAAACTGGACACAGATTTGAAGTCGCAAATTTTGGGCCTCCATATTTGGGGGATGTAAAGGGAGTCTTGTACAGAGTACAAACAGAATGTGGATAAAGCCTTTCTGGTTTCCTTTCTAATCGCCTCTTATGTGAGTTGTGAGTTGCAGACCTGCAGCATCCTTAAGGAGTGACAATGGGAGTCTCACCAGCTACTTGTCAGTTTTTTTTTCTTGGTCTCAACTACTCTCTTTTGGGTGATACCAATTTGTATGCTGTCCTGCCCTCTGTTTGCTCTTGCCTGTGAATTGGTATTTATCAACTCACACATGGAAAAGAAATTTTTTTCTTTTTTTTTTAATACAATGTGAACATTGGGCAAATAGATCTGTCCTGTAAATATCTTGTTCAGCACTTCAGCCACTGTCCCAAAGTGTTTAATGGATTGAGCAATTAGCATATTAGGCTCAGTTTGGAAGGGGAACAAATACAAATATGTAGAGTGCAAAACCTTGTATTTATATTATTCTGTATGCATTTGTACTGTATAAATACAAATATGTAGAGTGCAAAATCTTACAGTTTGTATTATTTTGTATGTATTTATACTGTACATATTTGTATTTGTACTTCTTCCAAACTGAGCCTTAATGTCAAGTGTATCTTGGCCCTCTTGGGCCATCATTCACTGATTGAAAAGTTAGGGTTTAGGCTACTAGCGTATATATGGGGCCATCATGCATTAAGCTTTTAGTGCTATAAATTCCAAAGAAAATAGTTAAAGCTTAAATGGATAATCTCCAATTTAGGTCTTAATGGAGTCAGATGGGATCTTTGCATAGGATGTCAACTGAACACACCCTAGGCTGAAGCACGTCTGATTTGAACTCTGATCCGTCAGTACATTGGACTCCATTAAAAGAAGCCATTAGATGGTTGAAGTACCACTGTTTGGTTCAACTATTCAACCATCCAGCTGTGCGGTTGTGTGGTCACTTGTTCAGGGTTCAAATGATTTCGTGCATTTTAGGTTCAACTCGGGGTTGATATATTGTATTGATTTTCCTGCATTTTACGTGCATCCAGGAGACAAAAGAAGGATAACAAGAAAAGAGTTCTTGACAGTAAGATTGGATCTAATAATCAAGATTAAACTGCCAATCTGAAAGAACCAAAGTGAATACTTTTCACTTGACATGAAGTTTATATGCTCCATAATTAATTGGTTAAACAGCCTCCAGTTCAGCAATCAAGTGCAGATTCACAAAGGCAAATAGCCTTTTTGGGTGATGTGGCCAAATATGATTGAGGGGCCGTTTGATAACAACTGAAGATGCTGAACTTAAAAGCTTATTATTTTATCTTTTGAATAAGTTTTTAAGGTTGTGGATTCCTTAATGGCTAAAACAAAGTTGGATTCCTTAATGAATTTTTTAAGCTTATCGATTGTGTTTTAGCTAGAACTGTCAATGGATCAGATCTGGTTCGGGACAGGGTGTACCAATTCTTAACTGATTGTTAATTGGTTCCATTTGATAGATCTAGAACTGTCCCAATTATTAATCTGGACAATCGGGTTCTACCCCATTAGACCCAATTATACCTTTGATAATAACTTAAAAGCTTAATTTTTTTTTAATATAACCTTCTAAAAGTAAAATAACTAACTGTTTATATGTTGATAAAACAAGTGTTTTTAACCAAAGTTATCTTATATACTATATACTAATGAAATTTACCCTTTTGGAGAGATTGACCTTGGCCTACAAAATTAAACAGCTCACCGAATAGGTTCCACAGCATATAATGATTTTTTAACAACTAAAGCTTCAAAATGATGAATGAGACCTTTAATGCCTATAAAATTTAAAAAGATAATAAAAAATATAACATATCAACCATATAGATACACACCAATACCCACTTGAAGCTATCAGGCATATCAATATTTTAATCCTTGGTTGTAATCAATAATTTTCCTCTTTTTTATTGGTATTTCAAATTTGGAAAAATCTATAATACCAGAAAAACATGATACTGGAAAAGCTTAACCACAACCCTTTGAATTTTGATGACAACCCAACTGATTGGTAACGATGTCAATTGATTGGTTGTAGGTTTTTCCGGTATCGATCTTCCCAGTATCATAGTTGAACCCTTCAAATTTTATTTCGTTTTTCGCTTTTCAGGGTGGCTTCCTCTTCCGTGTGATAAGCTGCTTAGATCCCTGGTGTATATTATTTCAGAATGCTTCTTCAAGTATATGGGGAATGCTAAATTGCTAATAAAACTCAATTGGCTTTGCCCAACTGAATAACTGAGAGAAAAGGGCAATAGCAGGAACTTTAATTGGCCAAAGTGGGTTTATTACATTGTCCTTTTCCCAGAAGTAGCCACTTTGAGTTTCCTTAGCATTCCTCTATTCTTAAAGAATCTGCTCGAGGCAACAAGAAACAAGTGTCATACCCAAACACTATGATGCTTAAGTAGTCAACGTCTAAACATTCATATGGTGGAATGGTAAATACAAATACTCTTATTATGATCCTTGATTTACAATTTTACATGCCATAATTTTATTTACCTTTGCCAATTACTCATCATCGTCCTCGTAAGCTTCTAGAAACCGCCTGATTGTAAGACGCTCCTTTGTTGTAAGATTAGCATCATCACTGGCCAATAGCTTCCTCAGTTCTGAACTATAACTGTTTGGATCACTGCTAACCTGTGGGAACGAAAGATAACATATGATAAACCTTGTATGGAACAGACAGTTAATTGGACTTAAGATTAAAAAGTCAGTTGGGGGCGGGAGGTGGTATTAAAAACCAAAGCGTGGAACAGACGCCATCTCTCAATGACTATTTGAAGAGAGAAAACTTAGACTGGTATTGATTGAACTAAAGACTGTAGAGAGATGAATCTTACTTCGATATAATTGTTGACATGGCCATCCTTGTTGGGGAGTGTTACAATCTCATACTCGTTGCATGCCCATTCGCCATCTACAATGTATTTGTACTCGTAGTATCCTTCCTGTGAGAGAGGAATCTTAGTAACGATTCTTTTTTTTCTCCAGTTTTGAAATATTAGCATGGGCTTACCCTCTTGAAGAACCAATCTCAACCACTACATCCTATGGCTTAAGTACCCCAATGTTATGAAGGCCAGATCGAGTTTTGAGTTTTGACTTGTGAGTAATAAAATTAAACCTTATACCCACTTCTGAAGTTTGTTTGACATTGCTTGCTTCACTTCAATAAAAGAAAATTACCTTGAAGTGTCCACCCAAGGCTGAGTACCATATTAGTTACTAAAACAACAATATGGGCTAGGAGTCACCATAAGCACATGGAGTACCATATTAGTTACTAAAACAACAATATGGACTAGGAGTCACCATAAGCACATGGGGATGTCCATATCTGATGCTGAGGGAATTGGCTTTACAAGTGTAGCTTATTAGCTCTAGATGCTTCATGTTTCCAAAACTTTCAGTTACCTCTAGTTAGATCATTTATCACTCTAGCTAGATCATTTATCTTCATATTAAAATAACAGAACTGGAAAAAAATTGAAGTTAAACTCTGAGAAAAGGATCTTCCAATAACCAAAAAAAAGGTTAAAAAAAAAGATAAGATTCAAAAATTAAGACGAGGAACACTTTCATAATGATAAAGAAGTATGAAATGTCTGGAGCTGAAACTATGTGGTTAGATCAATAAAACAAAACATAAATGAAGATTCAAATATTTTAAACAACATTAAATTTATACTTACTGGCAATTCCCGCTCAAGAATCCACAATCCTTTTTCCTCGTCATGTTTCAGAGGTATTCTCTACAAATATTTCAAAACATGGAAGTGACCAAATCAATCAAGAAGGAATCATGGGATAAAATGTATAGAGATGCAAAATGGAAGTTATAAATCAAACTAATGTCACCTAAATCCATCACTGACATTGCTTTGGACAGAAGGAAACTCAAGTTCCAAAACCGAATGATATAGAAACTCTAGAAAGGCCAAGAAGTGACATTTATCATGTTAAACATTTAAGAAAGCTAGACAGTCTCATATATTGTTACATTGTATGCAACTCACGTTGTAATAGCACAATGGGCTCAAGTAGTAGTTAATGTTTCTATTTCTGTTCAATTAGGTAATGTTTCAGATATAACAGCAGAACTCCATTCTTTAGCAAGAAAGAGAATGGATTAAACCCCTCATTCTCAGTCATTAAATTAAACCTTTCTTATTTATTTGTGTTCTTTAATTACCATTATGCATCAGAGCATTCATTGTTGTGAAAGATCATTACCACCAAGCTTTGATTTCATTCAGGCTGATTCCAACTGTATATGGTACAGAAGAAGGCATTCAGTTGCCATATTACCATGTTCTCAGTTCAAAATTTCCAAAATTCCCAAAACAAGGAAGTCTGGTCTTTTTTTTTTTGATCAATAACAACATTTCACAACTTAATCACAAAAGTAATTACAGAGAGGAAGACAAACTTTCTTATCTTCCAAAAGGAGCTTAACACTCTCAAGAAGTCTGGTCTCATCATTGAAATAGCCCAAGGGCAGAGATAATTAGGATTTTTTCTGCATATTTATGATTCAATGCAATGCTAGAGTTCTCAACCACATCAAATTTTTTCAGGCCTATGCACAATTTCACTGGTCCACTCTTGCTACTCTGCTTAAAGATGTAAGGTTTACCACATAGTTTTTCCTTAATGGGATAATTAATTGTAATGTGTAATCCTTCTCTCTCTCTCTCTCTCTCTATATATATATATATATATATATCTATCTTCTTCTTCTATCTATATGTATGTATGTATGTATGTAGTTGATCAAGACTACCATCAGTCTTGAATTCAAAAGAAAAAGAATGAAGAAATTTCAGAAGAGAAGAAGGAAAGAAGAAGAGAAGAGAAGAAGCACACAAAGAGATTTTTGAAAGGAGAGAGGGTTGGTCTTGACATCAGCCAACCCACTCTTAATATTTATATATGTTGACTAATTGTAAAAGGGCTAAATTGCCCTTATTGTTTACATGGCAAATAAACTAATAATAAAGCTGAAATAACAAACTGAAATAACTACCAACTAACAC